CGATGAACTCGATTTTGTATGATGCCTGGAGTCAGTGCAATGAGGGAAAATGGAAGACTAGCAAATTTTACCAAAACATACTCGAGCGTCACACTCAGAGACGCAGGGGCGTAAGGAAATGGTTTTTGGAGAAAGAACTCGTGCAAAAGTTTGGAGAAGCGCTTGCATCTGCAATCATCCAACGAAAGTTGGATGATCCTGACCTTCACTGTGAGATTCGACCATTTCCCGAGCTGCCGGACAGCAGTGCTGCATTTTTTCCGGGTGAACATAAATCTATACGTTATACTGCACTTGACTCGCTTGGTTTCATGATTCAGATGCCTTGGTAAATAGTTTACTGACTTATTACTTTGCAGGACCTCAATCAGTTCTTGGTCTTGGATGAGGATGCCACAGAAGATGTTCAAGAAGAGTCGATGGACCGCCTTTACAAGGCAGTTGATGAAGATTCCAGCTCAAGCTCCTCGAGCTCATCAAGCGTAATTTCGGCGTGTTTTTCCGGCTGTGCTGCACACTTGTGAATTCCTGGACACCTAATATGGATGATCATGTATGTACTCAATCTTTCCAGGGGAAAAAGAAAAAGTCGAAGAAGGATACCAAGAGCAAGAAAGATAACAAGAACAAGAACAAGAAAGACAAAAAGAAAAAGAAGAAAGAGCGTAAACCCAAAGGAGAGAAGAAACTGACAGAGCAAGAGAAGAAAGAACAAGAGTTGGCAGAAGAGAAAAAGGCCAAGGTTAAGGACGCGAAGAAGGTAGGGGCCGAGTTTAAAACAGACATGCACACTCATCAACTGCAATGCACAAACGTTTCCCCACTTTAATAATTCTTTAAATACCTGGTGTAGGCCATCAGTACAGCAAACGCAAAGATGAAGAGTGGTGCAGAGAAGAGCAAGGTTCTCTCTACCATGTTTGGCACTCAATTACTGTACGTTCCTTGCTGCAGTTCACATTTAGATTTAGAACACATTATAAACATATATCAAAGTTTTCAGGTCGAGCCACTTGCAAGCAGCGATTGAGAAGGATATCACAAGCACGCAGCAGGCTTTAGAGGCAAAGAGGTCGGAACTACAAAAGGCACTTGACACTTCCGAGGCAGATGTGTGTTTTGTTTGTAAAGTGGCACCTGCCTGGTGCTGGTTGGACACATGCGGATACTATTTGTTGATTGCAGGGGCCCGCAACTTTGGGAAAACTCGCTTCTGAGCTTGCAGAAGCTGGCAAGGCTTTTGACAAAGCTTTGGAACCCTTGAAGCCGGCCAAAAAGGCTGGCAAGTCGAAGACCGAAGCTTCATGATTTTGAGTACTTATGCCGGTGGTGGAACCTCGCTAGACTTGGTGTCTTAGCTGGATGTGATCTAGCCAGTTTGCATTGACACCACTTCCAAATTGAAAAGTAATTGTAAAACATCTTTGTTCACTATCATGTAGCTGTGAATGGTGTGCATTCTGGCTGACGCTTGGGAGAGCAGACTTTGGTCTATTGGGGTGAGAAGGGCAAAAGCCCCAGCTCTATCACCAAACTCGAGGGCACCTGTGGAGAAAAACAATCATTGAATTCGCTGCGCATTGGACACGTGGGGGGTACAGCAGCAAGCAATATTCAGCAAACGTATTTTTCATTGGCGCAAGGTGCTCGGGAAACAAACAATGATGCAGCAGGGCCGCTGCTAGAGGACCTCCTAGACAAGATTGCGTCCGGTGCACTTTGGCTGCAGAATTTTTGCTAGATCAATTCAACAGTTATGTGACATGTGCACATGCACAATCATGTGACTGCAGTTGGATCAGGCAACTTCTGCTTGCGCTGCAGTGGCTTCTGCACAGTCTACATTCAAGGCCGTGCGCATGTGCATGCACAGGGCAGTTAACAGAACATACGCATGCCCTTTTCTTCAGCATTGTGTTTGAAATGTGGCGTCCAGGAGGCCAAAGGCTTTACATCGGCATGGACACGAAAGATTGCGAGGTACTCTTCCAAGACCAATAGAGCAAGAGATTTCTATCGAAATACAAAACTACCGGTCGAATCTAGAGCATTGAGTAATACCAATTTTTGGAAGGTACCTATCTAGAATTGTTTTGGTGTTTTTTTGAAACATTATCCAACCATGAAATGTGTACAACCGTGTGCAATGTACGCTTGCATGCATTCACACGCCATGATTATCCAAGGAACATATGTGGGTGACATGCACTGTCAACGGCCCGAAGATGGATGGATCGACAACTGAGAACGAATTCCCACTACTGGACCCCTATGACGTGGTGCAATACTTGTATGGTGAGTGCAAAATAGATGTCTCACTGGAAAAGCAACGTGAATTCTGGAGGCATATGGATGCCATGAACGACTCGTGGGCACTTCAAACTCGGCAGTTTCGTAGTGATTGCAGCAAACCGGTGCTCACATGTGGTTTTTACGGGGACGAGGCAAATTTGGGATTCATTGGTGTTCAAGAAAAGATTTACGGTCTATTCCTCAATATTCCGCTTTGGCGGCCTCGCAGTACCAGACATGGCCGAGTCCTATTATTTTCGATTCGCAGCGAACTCATCGTCGACCCGGTCACCACACTTTACCCGGTTTTGCAGCGTATAGTTCAGGGGTTCAACAAATTGAGTGACACTGGGCTGGCTGATGGGACTCGATGCTTAGTCAGTGAAATTCGAGGTGATCAAGTTTTTTTCCGAACCTTGCTACAACACAAGGCTTGGTGGGCAGGAAATTTGGTATGCTTCAGGTGCAAGGCTTCTACAGATGGTGCCAATGATTACACAAATTTTTCTGCTGGTGCAGGGTGGCAAGGGACAAACAGAAATACGGCAGAGTTTATAGTGGATCAGCTGCCGATCCCACTTTGCAACATGGCTGTTGGTGTATTGAATTGAATTTTCACCCCACTTTCACAGTAATATTGTATAATTGGTTGAAGTTCCAGCAGTGGCCCTAGACCATAGCAAGCCCAGGCCCATTGGTTTTTCTTCGCCACTTCCACATCGACCTCTTCAAGCATTGCACGCTTCATATTTTGAATCTAGGGCTTGTGGCCACATCAAACGGTGGAGCTTTGCAACCCAGCGCATTTAACACATGTTTTACGACACGGGTACCAACAGTGTAGAGTTTAACTGTTCTATTTTGTGCAGTTTGATTCAACATGCATTTGTTTAGGTCAATGGCATTACAAATGGGTGCATTTGAGTCGATACAAGCAGCTTATGATGACTTTGAAGTCTATGCCAAGCAAGAGAAAATTCCACATTCACAACGTCGTTTTACTCATAGGATGCTGTACAAGCGTGCGCACGGGGCTTACTTGGCAACTAAAGGATGGAATGCTCGAGTGCTGGCTGAATGGCTGCGAGATGTTGTCAACCGGATAGCGCTGCAACAACCAACGGTGGCCCCAAGAAAGCTGAGAATGGTTCCGGAGGCTTCTGTGGATCCACGTTTGAGACCAACTTGCATTGCTATGTTTCCTGGTCCAATGGCAATTCTGATATTTTTGTGGTGGTCTTGCCCGTTTAAAGAGTGTTTCATTTGTTGCTTTGCCAATACCCGGCAAGGACAGCCCTGTCCAGATACTTCAACCTTTCTGAGCGCGCCCCTCGATACTTGTTGCCTGGATGATCCATGGTCAGAGCACTCATGGACTCATTTTTTGAAAGTTTTCTCACGATCACATCACTGTTGGATGAACTTTTTGGACTGATAGTACTTCAAAAAGGCTCCAACCGTGTGAGGTCAATTGCTGAATCAAACTCAATCAGCAAAGCAGGGCTACTCTTTTTGTATCAACATCGGATTTTGACCGAAATGTCTTGCAGGACTGCAGAGGGTCAACTTTTGTGGCAGTTTTGGAACAAACAAAGTTTCACCCAGAACCCTTCGCTAGGCGTTCGAGAACCTTCGCTACACGTTCAGAAGCCCGTCGCTGCACTTTCAAGAGAACCCTCCGCCACACTTTCAATAACCCATCGCTGCACTTTCAAGAACGCTAGTTCAACCCTGGAGGATGAATGACATGGCATGGATCATGGTCCCCAAAGCACATGCTTCGTGGATGCACTGACAAAAACCTTTCTTGTCATGGAGAGTCGAGAGTTTGGTTTTGCGCGGGCTGTCACCTCCCCAAAAAAAGGCTTTTCAGCATGGGTTGATGGACGTGGTGATACGACAACGAACCTTGGATCCAATGCGGTGTTTCAATTCTTTCCTGATTATGTTTGTTTCTCTCCCATGGCGATGGGAAATCCGAAAGTACCTCTTCTGGAACAACTCTGAGGATTGAACTTACGTCATCAACACACGTTCCAAGATGAGGATGGCATGAAGCTTCTCAAAGCTGTTTCACGGCGCCAGTACAAAAGAAAGATGGAGTTGGGAAACATTCGCAACTCACGAGTGCGACTTTTGGTGACCAAATTGAAGCTTGATAAAATCAATCGATCTGCCAAAGGCAGATCATGAAATCGAGCGGAAAACCGTGAAAACAATATCTGGAGACATGACTTTGAAGAGCACCAAAAAACACATAGACCGTGAAATAGGCGTGAAATGATAAAGACGTAAGGGACGTGAGTAACCAATGTCTTGGGATGATCTGGGCTTTGATTGCTTTGATTGCAATCTGCAGTTCCGGGTTGACCAAAGTGAGCTTGGAGTCCCGGAAACAGGGTGTAGAGTTAATTGCTACAGTTGCAGCTCGAACTTTCAATCGTTGCAACCCACTTAGTGCACCAGTCGGAAAGGGCCTAGTGCAGGGAAGGAGCCCTTTTCGGAGAAAAAGGAGGACCTCGCAGAACCACTTCTTTGTGTCTTGTCTCTTTGTGTACGCAAACCATACTGTTGGTAGTTTGGGGATGTTTGGGGCACTTTTGGTGGCCATGCTGCTGCATGTACACTTCAGGCGACATGTTTCAACCTTTTCTCGATGTCATGCACATGCCAAGATTGTACCAAGAACCGACGCAGAAGCGACGCAGGAGATGTGCAACTTGCATCCTCGACTCTGTAGCTTTATGAGCAGGACAGTGGGGGCCGGCTCAGCTGCTCACCGCTCGAAGCAACATGTTGTGGGGCGCATAGTTTCAGAGCTACTTGTCATGATACACCTTCGTGCATTCACCCTACCACATATCCATTTTCTATCCTTCTTCAGTGCTTCCCCTCCAATCCCTTTCGAGCTGCCGCCATGTTCTTGCAAGTTATGTCCAAGCCGCCACGTTCTTCCCCACCTGTCAGGTGAGGGTTGTTAGATTTGTCGGATGGGGCACAACCGTTAGTTACCTTCGGTAACCACCGAAGGGTTGCGGCAAGGACACGGGCTGCGTGCCCAGCTTCCTTCCTCCGCCTCAGCTTCCTTCCTCCGCTTCCGCCTCCTTCCACCTCGTCCGCCTCGTCGTCGGCCTCATCAAAACACCTCAAGCACTAAGTGCAGGATGGCAGTGTTCTTTGCCGGAGCTCAACAACAAAAACATCCACAAACACACCATCACAAACACACAACGACAAACACAACCACAAAGACACATCCACAGCACACAACCCAAGGACCCACACGGAAAGTCAATAACCACAAAGCTCACGACCATGGCAATCAGCATGGCATGAAGACAAATGATTGATATGTCATGGTCGGGATCACTCGAAGTAAACACCTCGTCTCCGGCCGGCTTTCCCTTCCGATGTGTGCCCGCAGGGTGGGACGCAGCTATGGGTCGGCAGAGAATGCCACCTTGCTGCTGCAGTATTTGCACCAGGAGTCTTGGAGTTGGAGTTTACCATGATGGATTTGGGCTGGTGGTGTGAAAGAACCAATGAATAAGAGAGTGTAGACTCATGATATCTCTTAGATGAATACCCCCTACCAATTTGGATTGTAAAAACCTTGTATATCGGGGGTTTTTTTGAATCAAGAGTCTACATCGTAGCGAGTGAGGGGATGCCTCAAATAAGACCAATTTTGGTGAATGGAGCCCCAACCAGGACGGTCTCGCTTGGCGCAAGACCGCTGTATCCCTGTCCATTCTTTGGACTCCAATCACGAACGTGCGAAACGAAGTGGACTTCGCACGATCTTCGTTTGATTTCGGAGCAAAGGCCGTTGGGAAACGAAGAGACGGCATGGCCATTCCGTGCCATTCCGTGGAGTCCGTGGAGTCGCACACAGCGCTGACATTCGGAGGTAAAACCCCTGCCACGGTGAGCAATGAGCAAGCAAGCAGATGGGACATCACCCTAATGAGCCGCCCATCAGGAAAACGACCTCCTTAGTAAGAGAGCTTCAGGAATTAGAAGAGCAATTCTTACGGTTGTAGCTTCTTCTAGGAGATGCTATCACTCATCGACTCATCCCAGTAGTTCAGAGACCGCGGGACCGAGCAGACCATTGGCCCTGGAGTCCTGGGCACGGTGCCTTTCCACGAGCTTGAATATGAACATCATGTTTCCGTCACTCAGAAACCAAACACAAGGACCAGATACATCACCAGCTCACCAAGTGATTAGCACAACACGTTGTTCAACCATGTTCAACCAGTTCAACCAATGCTCCACCCAAAATCATCCGCTTAATGATTCCGACCTCACAGGAAGCTGTGGGTTTGTGCGACGCCATGGTCGCACCTCGTCACACAGGAGAGTTGGTCGGACAGGGATGGCTTCTACGTGTCAGATAAGCAGAATGAGTTCGGAGTTTGCTGTTCAGTAGATCTGCAAGATTCCTCCTGCTGATTGATTTGGTTGCAAGACTCCTTTCTAGGTCCAAGACAGGGGCGCCTTTGTTCTTGTGATTGGGGTATTCTTATTTTGTTTATTTTTGTTGTTTGGTAGTGTCGATGTAGGAGAGGTCAACAAGGTCAATTAAAGGTTTGAGATTGGAGGTATTGGAGACCACATCCCCTTAATAAAGGGGATTGATGACCTGATGATGGTTGATGAGATGATGACAAGATTATTGATTATCTAAGAAAGATTGGGATTGGGATGATTGGGATGATTAGGAAAGAGATAAAAGAGATTGGAAGACAAGATTAAGGCAAGTGCATTGCCACGCCTTGATCCAGCAAGGGTGATGCATAGTAACCAGATCGTGATTGGGTCTTACACAACTGCGCAACAAGTCCATCATCCCAGCAGTGTATGAGAACACACACTGGAGGTTCTTCAATCGACATCGTTCAAGGGCTGAGGAGATTGCAATCACTGATGTGCTGAGGGTGCAGTTTGTGAATCGGTGCACGGAGAATGTCTTGGCAACTGCAGATGAGGAATCTGAGGATAAACTCATGAACATTGTGTGAGAAAACAATGGCCATCAGATTTGGTTGACCTGATGATTCGGCGTGTGTCCTTTGTCATACCTTTCTTTGATTGGGATGATTAGGAAAGAGATGAAAGAGATTGGAAGACAAGATTCTTTGGTTTGATTGGGATTTGGAAAGCAGGATTGCAGGACGAAAGAGATGGAAGACATGATGGAGGCCAGAGGGTGGGCTTGATTAATAGGGGGGAACGGGCGGGGCCCAGAGCTTTAATGCGGGACAATTAAAGGCAATTAAGTAATTTTGCTTGCGAGTTTTTGGTGTTTCAACACGGAAGGATAAGAAGAAAAAGCAGGATGAGAAGCAGAAGGTGGATGAGAATGATGGATGAATGGGCCAGAAGATATTGGATACTAGCCGAGCCGAAAAGAAAGTAAAAATAAAGAACGATATTTATAATGCAACCCATGTTTGTTTTCTGGGGCAGCTGGGCTTGATTAATAAGGGGAGATTTCTGCCAAGGAAAAACATGATTGGGGTGATGGACATGTGGAACTCAGGTTTTTGAATTAGTTTAGTATTGGGGGCTCGAGCTGGGCTTCATAGAATAGGGGAGGTTGCTTAATCCTAGGTCATAGTCATTACACTGAGTAATCGATGTTCTCTTTCGGGGGAACAATTCTGAACCCTCTTATGTGTGCTGGAACAGCTTTTCCTAAGCTTTCAACGTTGCTGGACGGCGAACTGTGGTGAATTGTGTGTCTCAACGCAAACGCATCTGCGGCAGAGAAGGCCTTCCACAGCTTCTTGTTGCTCAGGCCGGCCATTGTAGCCTTTGAAACTAAGGGCGCACATAGCTATGAGTGCAAGAAGTTGAGTCAAAGTGAGTCTTGGCACCTTGCTCTGAACTTCAGAATTGGCAGCGAACTGGGACATGCTGGACTTGATTTTGGTGTCACATACGGCCGCATCAACATCTTTGCTTTCCCGTTCCAAGCATGGGCTTCTGATTTGGCGAGTGCCAACAAGAGCTGGTCAGCAGCGGCAGTGATAATGCCAGTTACGCGCCAGTTGTGCTTAGACTTCCAACGCTGAACCAAGCGACCACGCCACCAGCCAGTCAAAACTGGGATGTACACTCTCTGGAATCATCATGGAAGTGGACAATTGCCCCGAATGCAAAAAACAAACAGGTGGTTGTACAAACAGGTGGTGAACTCCACTTCCATGATAATCCCAGGAAGTGCAACTAGGATGTATTCCATCCAAGTCCTCCAAACCATCCTGCTGAAGTCGGTCTGACGGTCTGACGCATGGGGGTCAGCTGCCAATTCATGTGCATTCAGATGAGGGCTCGGATGGGGGATCAACAAAGAGAAGTGCCAGAAACCAGACTCCGCTGTTGCTCGCTTTTTTTGTGTCCAGGTATTTCCAGATGTTTGGTTTGCAGGAACACCTGCAGGAAGCTGGTGACGTCCAGATGTTCATAGTTGAACGTCATTTGAATTCGGCCAACTTGGAGTCGTCGATCTATTCCATGGGTCGCGCCTCAAACTGATCCCATACACTCCATGGGACCGCCATATATGCCTACATTGAGCCCCCAAACCACCCCAATGTAAGCATATACGGCATACATAGAGTGTCTGCGGATTGCTTGGGGGCGGATCCGACATGTCTTCGACGCCCTCGTCCGCGTCCGCCGAAGCGGCGGCCGCGGCGGTGTCCACCGAGGGCAGCGCGCGGCGGCTGCTCGAGATGAAGGACGAGGCAGGCGTCGCCTACGAGGTGCGGGGCCCCATGAAGCTGTGGGAGGGCACCAAAAAGCTCGGCAGGAGTGGCCTCCCACACCCGAGTTGGTGGGCTCAGGGGCTCAGGGATATTCCGGGAGTGCATTTGTGTTGACAATCACTTGGAAGAATCATGGACATCAGGGGTATCCTCAAATTTTTCTGGGGGCCCCTGAGTTGTAGCTGTTTGGTTTTCAGGCGTTGGTCGCGGTAAGTAGGACCTGCAAATTATGTTTTGGATGCCAAACAGATGTGTTCTGTTCGTCGTTTTACCAATGGCTAGCTGGGTGGTTTCGGAGTGAATTTATAAATACTGTATCTTCATCATTGTTGCTCTAGGAAAGGGACCGCTGTGAGCAAGTGATTTCGGCAAATTGATCAGGAACATGTCTTCAAGGAAATTTCCTTCATGTTGTGATGTTTTCAGATTGGTACAGGATTGGACATTTAAAAGCGCAGGGGACTGTGAAACTGAGGGGACCTTGACAGAGGAGACTTCTGGTTAATACAGGACACATGGTGAAGGTGCAGATACTGTGGCGAGCCCATTACATAGCCAAGAACAACGGTGCGACGCTGTGGTTGGGCGCGCCTGCAAGGATGCAAAACACAAGCAGAATGGGCTGCAAACGGTCTTTTCCTATTGTTTTTTTTTCTGAGAAATCATTGCCACAGCCAACTGGAATCTTTTTTGATGTCCAGGTATTCGGATGGCGGGCAACCCAATTGTGAGTCACGCTTTAAGCGGTACTCTTTGAAAGCTTGCAACACTGTATTCAGTCCAGAACGGGTCCAAAAACCTCCACCTTCACGTGTCAAAGCAGAGAAATTAACATGCAAACGTAAACAGGAAACAAAAGAGAGATGGAACGCAAAACGGGAGAGGACAAAAGAGACCAGAACGCAAGCATCTTGCCCCCCCCCCCCCCCAAAACCCCCCCTGTGCGAGACAACGCAGAACGTGAGAGGAAAAAGAGACAAGAACGCAAGCATCTTGATCATCTTGCCCGCCCCCCCCCAAGCCCCCCCTGTGCAAGACAACGCAACACGTGAGAGGAAAGAGCAGATAAGAACGCAAGCATCTTGAACCCCCAACATCGTGTATGTGGCCATAACATTGGCGGCAGTGTGTCCAAAATGAGCAACAGCAAAGAGTCTGTTCATGTTGACGCAATACAAACATAATTTCGTGTGGCAGGCGTGGGAGAAAATACACTTTCCAAGAGGAGGAAACGAGATATGCATTTCGCGTGGCAGGCGTGGGACGAAATAAACATAAAATCGCAATTACCATCGGTTTTATCTTCGAAAAGTTGCGTCGAACCAGGGCGTCGGAGCCAAGAACCAATGGCCCATGAACAGAGATGACTTGCTCTGTCCACAGGACCAGAATTGAAGACATGCTACCGAATCAAATAGGGTAGGACCAGGTGACCTGCATTCCCTGGACGTTGAACACCCATAGAACTTCCACCCCGTTATGATTCTCCTTGGGATCTTCGACATGGCAATTCTACTCTCAGCAGTAGTTTCCTTTTCCGGTTCGAAGGCTGGTCGTAGTAGACTATGCTGACTATGCAACTTGCATGCATGCACCCAGTGCGCCCGGTGCCCTCATCGTGTCTTTGATTGACATGATCAAACCTGCCCATTTTGCACTCAACTCCCTTTACCAAACTGCATCCACCACGCGCTTCTCTGCGCAGCCCTCCGTATCGCTTGCATGTCAAAGCTCAAGGAGCTGAACGTGGGCCTGGTTGCCTTCACCCTTGGGGGTGTCGCAGTGATCTGGGGATTGCTCATGATTGTGCTCGCGCAGGCAGGGATAGATGGCTGGAGCGGGACAGTCCCGAGCTGTTTGGGTGACCTTGTGACTTGGGTTAGACGGTTAGATGGTTTACATAGGAAAGGATCAAAAGAGTTGGGTCGAACAGAACACTGGAGGCGTGCATTCTTTTTTACGTTGACAGTTTTTTCATGTTGACCAACATGTTCATGTTCAGCTACATGTGGGGGTGGACAAGTGACGTTCGTGCAGGCTTGCTTCGTTTGGGCGGGTTCTGTGTTGTGTGCAGATGGTGCAAAAGCATGGTCAGCCGCTGTATACGCGGCATTTCAGCTATGTCCGCAGGGCCATTGGGGAACGACATTGTTGCCTGGATCATGCTGTGGTGCAGGGTATAGATATAAGATATATGATTACATATGATTTTATATGGTCACTTAATGTCCCTAGCATAGAAAATATTTGGTCAAACTTATCATCCACACATATGGGTGGGGCGGAGATAATGATGTTCGTCGTGGATGCTACGGCAACGACAACACGTTGCCGGCGCCTGCATATATTCATGACAACATGGCTATTTCAATTCTTCTACGAATGCGCAAATGGCCCGTGTCACTAACCACGTCCCCACCTTGCTTTTGGAACCCAGGACCTGCTCTTCTCGCTATTTAACTCTGGGACTTCAGTCCAGTCCGAACCGTAAGTAACCAGGAGGATCTAGGAGGTATTCTTTGTTTCATGATTTGGACTCCGGACCTTTTGGAATTCTAGAAGGAGAGATAGTAACACGGGGATCTATACAAGGCAAGCAATATGCCACGCTCTTATTCACCAAGCATGCAAGCGGATGTCTCCAGAGAGTTTTCGAATTGGAAGCAGGGGGATTGTGTCCACTTCCGTGGTTCAGGGACGGTGCTAGTCTAAGCTAGTCTGTGTGTCATCACTTTGGAGATTAAATTTAGGGGGTCAATACGCATGTGGGTGTTTTCTTCATTGGCAGACATCCAACCAAATGTTTTTTGTCCATTTTCTTTCTTCCAGGGGGTCGAACTGGGAGATCCCCCTATTTTGATACACACCCATTCATGTTTTATTCTTTTTCCGGAGAGATCTGTTGTGGCATGCTGTGGGTTGTAAAAACCACTAGTGCAGCTGAAATCGGACATGTCGACATGTGTTTTTGCTTAAAGACTTGAAACAAGATTTGAGGTTTTGCCAACATTGCTGCAGTGTATATCCGGTAGTTTAAGGCCTAGGGTGGCCTAGGGCATGGGAAAATTCAATCACAAAACGGATCTTCAGAGGAAGGTCATAGCCCGGTCAGCAAAGAGGTTGTTTGGTTTCCTTCCCAGCGGATGCCATGCTAAATGATTGGTGGCACTCACTCTGATGGTTTCAGAGTGCGCAAGAAACGCCTCCCCCTTGAAAGGTCAGACCGAGTGCTCGAATTTCAGACGGAGTTCGCTCAGTCTGACAAACAGCAGTTGTCATAATAATATATACTAGTTGAGTCACATTGTTGGATTGCTTTGAGCATTTTGAGCCACTTTTGTTCCAGGTCCCTCCTTCGGAACCCAACAGTGCGCAGGTGATTCGTCGGAGTCCAAGTCATCCCTTGACGAAGATCAACACGAACTTTGGCGTCCCCTTCGTCCTTGTGCCCCAGCTATTTGGGTACGTATTTGAATCGGGAGACCTCCAGCGAATGGGTTTTTGGTCTATTTCCTTGGAAGAGGTCATTGCCTGGAATAAAGGGTAATTTTTTGTTACCCCCAGTGGCTCGTTACAGGAAAGTAAAGGATGAAGCCATGAAAACCATTACAAAGGTTGCTTGTGTTGCTTCTGTCATTGTCCTTTGTGAGTTCCATACCCGATGTGATTAGAGGAACCACCCTGCAACCCTTAGACACGCTTTTCTCAGAGGGTGTTCATTCATGTTCGAGTGTGGTCTGGAGCGCCAGGCACCAGTTGTAGGGGTGTTTTCAAATTAACATCTTAACATGTTACAGTAACTGTTTTTGACTTGTCCAGGCCCTGTCACGGTTCATGAATTGAGACGTGTCTTCCAATTTCTGAGGCAACCACTTTGCTATTGGTCTTGGCCCTGTGCCTTCGCTGTTTGGCCTACTTCAAGTTGGCCTACTTTAGTATGGACATGAACATCGTCTACAAGCACCTCGTCTCAACCCACTTTCGTTGAGATGGCACCTCTAGACCGGTTTCAAATTTAGAGAAGATTCCATACTCAAAGCTCAACTCAGCTAGGTTTGTGCTGTCTAGTCTTTCCTTTGGTTTTAGAGTCTTTCTTAGAGCGACTCTTCGTTGTTTGTGTTTTTTTGCTTTCATTTTCGACATCAGCAGAAGAGATGATGCATTGACGTGACATGTATTATAGTTACTTTGTAGTTGTTCGCATATGTATCAGACAGCTCTTCATATTATGTTCATCCTACGACAAGTGAATTAGTGTTCTGTTTGTCTTGGCAGACATCAAGCAAGCAGGGGTTCTCACAACACGATTTCAATCAGATTGTTGGACAAATGTGCTTCTCTCTTCGTTGGTACAGGGTGTTTCGCCGCCATGGCCGAAACGAAAGGGCCATTGGTTCGTCTGCCGAGTTTGGTTGAAAGTGACCTCCCAGAGTTGCTGAGGCCCAGTAGAAAAGTGATCGACTCACTGACCTTGGCCGCCTTCACCTTCCAAGGCGAAGGGCGGAGGGCGGAGGGCGGATGTGTTGTTCAATCCATTTGTGGGGTGGGTTTATGAATCAATCCAACCGAGCTGCTTAATATTGAAGATATTGAGGCTGTTTATGAATCATACAAGTCAATATTGAAAGATCTTGGAAGGTTTTTTGATGTATGTTGATGTTCTTTGATGTTGGGTGGTTTCTGATGGAGTAGCCAAGAACGCATGTGGGGATGGTATGGGATGGCATGAAGGATCCCACACCGCATGTGTGTCTACCGGGCACTCGCTGGATCCATCATGCTACGAGTTACGAGGCATGTCGATACAGTGGCCTTTCTTCACCTGCTCCAACAGAAGGGTGTCGAGGTCCCCCCTCACGTCTTGCTGACAGCGATGTGTATATGGACCATATATAGGGTCTGTCCTATTACCTGTAACAGTCAGTAAACAATTATCATCATTTTTGAACAAGGCCTGCAACTGAACCATCATCATCCACTGGGCCCAGGTATATAATAGGATAGACCCAGTATATATATATATATATGGATCTTCAACTCTCGCCCTTGGGCGGCCTGTGTGTTTTGTCTTGATTTGTTTTGTCCTGAAAGATGTTTCGGCTTTTTGCTGTACCTACATAGCCTACAATGTATTTCTTATTCTTCTCTCCACGAGAGGTTGGAGAGAGCTTGTAATAGGCCCCCCTGCAGTTCACGCGATGGGCGAACGAGGGCTGTGAAACACCTCCCGCTGGTTGTTGCCTTGGTCGCGATCCACGATCAGTCCAGAGGGTCGCTGCGCTGCGCGCTGGGGTGACCCCTTCCGAGGCTTGGCACATCAGCTGTCCAAAGTGAGTGGCTTCCTGGGCTTCGAATGGAACTTCAGCGGCTTAGGCCTTTCCCTCGCCGGGACCCTCAGCCTCGCGCCACGCCTCGCGTGACCCGCGACTCGAGAAGGGCGGCTCGTTCTCGGACTAAGAGGACGATGTTCCGGCGGAGGGACACCTTGGCATTGGCTGTGCTTAGAAGAGGGAGAGAGCCCAAAGCAAGAGTTTGTCGTCTATGTTTATTTTTATCACTGGGTCGTAATACTGGGTCTCAGATTCTAATGCATATGCAAGGGAGAGCAGGATGGCGACAGTGGTATACTTTGTGTACCACTTGGGGCACCTGTGCTTGCGGTTCTCAGCCTTGCAGATGGTTTCCAGGTGAGAAGAGAAGCGGTTGAAACATCAAAAGACCCAATTTAGCTGTGGGTCAAAGCCCCGGCACCTAGTCCCTGTAGGTTGACCTATAGTCTAATCATGTCTATTCATGTCTAGGTTGACCTATGTCTATTGATATTATAATCTATTCATTGGGTGATCGACCAGGGCCGGCTTAGGGCGACCCACAACCAGACCTACCAGACCAGTCCCAGGATCTACCCAGCCAGCACATCTCATCCTGTCGAACGGGCGAACGAACTGGGATCCACTTCACAGACATTGCTTGACCATACTACGCGATGCGTAGATCCGGGACGCAATGCCTTTGGATTCTTCGGCTCATCTACCAGATCCCCTCTCTCCAACAATCATGGGCCAGTCCGTGGATGGCATGGGCCCCTGGTTTCTGACCGGAGAAGTGAGTCGGAGTGTCCATTCTGCGTCTTTCTAGCGGCTACACCAGGCTACACTAGCGGCTACACCGGGTTGGTCGGTGTCTCCCGATCAGATTTAGCCATATTTAATACTAGAATTACTAGGCCTATTCACAGATAGTGCCGAGAGGGTTTCATTTCGTCAGGTGTTGGCAAGGGGGACCACTCAACGCAATGAGAAAGGGGACGCCGTGCTTTGCATGCGAGGGCTGAAAGAATGCCTGGGCGATAAAATAAGGCCTCGTATCAAAGTGCATTAGGTCAAATTAGGTCTGTTTGAATTGGCAATTCTTGGTCTGATGGAACATCAAGTTCAACTGAGACCCACTGATTTACCCACCAAATCGCTAAACGTTTTTTGTTTCTCACCAATGAAGGCCTTGTTGTTTTTTGAGCAACCCCCTTAAAAGATCTTACATACAGTATCTCTATAGCTGGTTAGCTCTTTAAGTGACCCCCCAGTACGCCTTGTTTTTCGGGAATGACTATCCCAGTTGACACCTATTTTTTGGAAAGTGGCTTAAACCCATCCAGCCCTCGTTCCGAACGCGTTCGATGTTCTCGTTTCGCGCCGGCGACCCATGTTCACATGACTCAGACGCTGGTGGTACTCTTCATGCTTACTTGGCTTGTGAACTTGCCCTTCAACAAGCAGCACATTCTCCTCAGCGACTTGGCTCCGGTCCTCTGGGTCTGACGATGTTCTCGCACAGGGTCTGCCGGTGTCTGACATGGTCTGCCAAGCCCCCTCACCGGACGACCGAGCACTTTTTGGGTGTTTTTTGGGGGTGACGACCGAGCACTCAGATGCACTGGGGAGAAGGCTGTTCAAGAGCCCGGTCAACCCAACATCTACACTGTACAATGGTCGAGACAGATCCTGTGGGGGTGAAAAAGCTCTTCCTTTGCAAAGATGTCTTCTGTGTTGAGAGCCTGGAGTGTACACTTGCAAGGACGCTGCGACTCCAGTACGACTCATCTGAGCTGCAACATGTTTGAGTCAATTAGCATGACTCATGCTATGCTAAAAGCACGTACTCATTCCAAAAGCTCCCGAACATGCACTTTCGCAGTCGGAAACCCTCCCAGTCGGCGACCAGCTCTCGCGTCTAGCGTCTCAGACGCGACGCGGACCTCTTCCGTTCTGCTCCGGCTTGGGGGCATGTTCTGCTTGGGAAAGGCGGCCTTTGAACTCGAAATGATCTTGCTTCACATTCAGGATTCAGGATTTACCGTCCAGCTCCAAGAAGCTACTCAGTCGCGCATCGACTGAGTCCGATTCTTTTTCACCTTATTTTTTTTGCAGGGCAAGCAAGAACACATGACCAAACCCAACGCCTTCAGTCTGCCTTCAACGCCGAGCTCTCGCACCTGTACGGACCAAATGCCTCCTATCGTGAGCTCCGCGGGACCAAACGCTTTTCGGGGACCAACTCCTCTACTGCACTGGGGAACATTGAGAGCTGCCAACCAACCGTTTCCCTTTGGCGATGACTAGGGCAGAAGACCCTCCCGGGGATTCTCCAAGAGTCCGAACGGGCGCCTTGGGTGGGTCACCGAAAGGCTTTGCCAAGCAAGAGACTCATTCTGAAAAGCTGAGTGTATAGCATCAATTAGCCACATTTGTTCACATTTTGGAACATATGTATAGAGTTGGCCTGCACGTAAACGCGCCGGTGTTTGGAATGATTGACATCTTCTGACATCGCCAAAGACATATATCCCATATATATAGTCATTGATGCCGTTGCCGTCAAAACGAGGCAACAGCCAAATCGCTTTTGTCCGCCAAATCGCTCACTCAGAACCAGCCCTTCTTGTATCACATTATATCACACCCATCCAAAGGTGCCAAAGATTGGCTACTCCACAAACTGGTCGTTTTTTGTCTCAAAGAGCTACTGCTTTACATGATATCGTTCTCTTCCGTTTGGAGAAGCGGCACCCAGCACCGCTTGGTCTCCTTCGTCCAAGCTTTTGATGTTCATCCTTTGAGTGGCGCGCAAGGGGTACACCAGCAGCGCGGGAATGAGAGTGTTGAGAGTCCCAAGGAGTTTGCATTTGGTTTTCTCGGCGACAATGGCAGGAGCGAGTTCCGCGGGACAGCCAAGGTGGCTGGTTTCCTCCAAACCCCCAATCCTCCAACCACCAAAAAAAACCTCTTCCCGAGAACTATTGATATCCGTTGATTTGTTCATTTTGGTATGGGTATTCCATGGTCTTCCTTTTGACCTTCTTCTAAGGGTCCATCGCGAAGTACATACCCTGACCCTATATTAATCTCCCCTGAGCAATTTCGTCATGCCTGTTGCAAGCTCTCCTGTTCAGACTATTTTTTATTCTCCATTCGGAAGATTGGGATCAGCCAGTGGATCAGCCTTCCCTCAAGACACCTCAAGACGGAAGATGCAACCCTCTTTGACAGCCGGTAACAGTCGATTGTTGACCTTGGGTGATTCCTCCCAGCCATAGTAAACGCGGGCGCGCCGGAGCGATCTCTTTTTGTTTGGGCTGTCAGCGAGCCGCAAGTCAGACGACCCCAGTCAGCGAACCCGTTTGCAACGCAGTCCCTCTTTACTTTGAAAGAGTGTTGACAATAAGATGTGAGTTGCCTTGGAAGCTTTTCTGTGGAGTTCAAGACTTAGGTGTTAATGCGGTCTTTAGTAAAGCAGGTGGTTCACCCATGGTGAGTGTATTTATAGAAGAACTTCTTATGTTGTAGTTGCGTATTTTTAGGTTTTCAATGACCAATCCAGCCACCGCCCCTTGAAAATCCCGATACTGGGAGAGCTGAAGAACGAGAGCTTCAGGTTGCGCGTTCGAGACATGTGTCGAGGGTCCGGATGCTCACAGTGAGCTCTCTGACTGGGTGGCTTCGGACGGTTCGGACATCAGAACTCACCAAGGTGGAGACGGACAGTCTTTTTGTTGGTAGGTCCATAGAGTCCAAAAATGCTGTAGATAGGTCCATGGAGTCCTCATCCCCCATCAGACCAAAAGCTTTTGGTAGCGTCGCTCTTCAGAGCACTGAAGAGGGAGCCTTTGGGAGCTCCGTTTCAGCGTTGTTCTGACGGCCCTTGCCCGCCAGGAGTTGGGAATGCTGCTTTTGACGGCCTTCACTTCGATCCTTGGATTCGTTTTGGAAGCGATTCGTTGAAGCATCATCCTCACACAGGACTTCTTGAGAAAGCAGCAAAAACCACGAGACGGACTCTTCCCCGAAGCTCTGAGTTTGGCCTCGGCCCGTCAACTCGGACGAGTCGAGTTGCGCGTCGAGTTGCGTTATGTGATGCGTTGGGAACTGCCAGGAGCTGCCGAGAAGTTGCGGAACTGCTCTGACGGTGTAGATGTAAAGTAGGACGGACTGTCAGAGGCAATGGGGGCCCTTTAGATATGGAGTTTCAATTGGGAGATGGAATAGATAGAAAAGTCAGTACACACAGTATATACAAATGGACCATTTGATGATGACGGCGACGGCGATGATTTCTTGGGATATGTGTAGCCAGTTTGCCGCATGTCCTATGGAGCATGTAAGCGGAGTGGTCCGCTATGGTGCTAAACGAGTCATCCATGTGCTAGTAGCAGCTGGTACACTCCCGAAAACTAACATGGTTACGTGGAGTTCACCACCTGTTTGGTTCGTGGATTTCATGGTCTTCCAAACGAAAGGGGCCATTCTCGTCCACGTAACCATGGGGCCGTTCCAGGGAGTGTATAATATACCATTAAGCGCTCCCGGACAATGAAGTAATCAACATCCATGGGCGCTGACAGACAAAGCCGAGCAACATGTTCGGACTCTTGTCCTGGCAAGTGGATTGCGTAAGGACTGCAGACATTGCAATGCCCTTGGACATTGAGCAACAGATGAGGACCTTCAACGAGCGTCCTGTCATTTTGTGCTGGAACCCCTTTTCAAGACATGTCAATGGCCAGTCCAAAGTAGCAAGTAGTGTGCTGTGGGCATGAGAGTTGTATGCTTGACATAAGCACAAAGGATTAGATGGTCTTCTTGACTGTTATTGGAACTGGCAAACAGCACAGCTCTAGCTGCTTGTAGCTTTAGACACATCTATTCTGGGATTCTGGGGTTTGGGGTGTGGCTCAAACAGGGAGTCTGCCCAAACCCTTGGGCCAAGGGACATAGACCACACACCCAGCAGGTGGGACCTTTCCGAACTGACCGCCTGTAAACCAGTCCTGGCTTGTCCTGAATCGATCTCGACGTCATCTTACTTGGCAGTCCCCCCACAGTTCTTACCCCCCAAACAATTCGCTTAACGCATCTGAACACTGGTGGATGGCCCGAATCACCCTCGCAAAAAGTTCCAACGGCAGGATGACCATTTGGTCTGGTCCAGTGATTGCCTCTGCTTCCACCATGTGCTTGACAGCAGCGACCCGGCCTACATCGGACGATCTTTTCCACTTGGGCCCACAGGGTAGCAAACACTATCATTCATCGCCCATTTGGCAAGTTATGATTTGTTGACTGATGTGACTATAATCGGCTGAGTCAGGGTAGTAAATCCAGATTCGTTTTGGCTGATTTGGCGCTATTGGCACTATTGGCGTGTAATTCTAAGGAATCGATCCCTTTTTTGTTTGACCCAGCCCTCTTGATCAATCGGTGCATGATACTCACAGGGCGATCCTCAAACTGAGTCATGTGAGGATCCTCCAACCCGGAAAGAATCAGACGTGGATGTCCTGAAAGATTCGGATGACCATGAAATCCGAACACCAAACAGGATTTCAGGGAGGTGGTCTCCCCCTTCAAGGGGGCCGCAGGCCACGTCGTGCCTGCGTTCCAAACACCGGCAGCCGTGCACCTTTCAGCTGCAGTTGTCCTCACCGGCGTCAGACGAGGCTGGCCTTTGCATGCTGATGACGGTGCCAACCGGATCCTCTGATGGGGAGAAATCCTCTGTGGCGATGGGCATCGACCTGGCAACTTACATGGGCAGACAGATGTTGGGCGGGGTATCGTGGGTTGGGTTATGTTGGGTTACTGGGTTGATGAGGTTGGGGTGAGATGGCTCGTACCTGAGCTTTGAAAGACCTTAGACATAAGGTTTAACCGGTTCGCTGTCGATGCTGTTGGCTTTGAGTCAGGCACCGCGCCTACGCTCGGCGCTGCTTCATGCTCTCACGTTTGGGGACCGGAGGGAAGAATCACCAAGGATCCACAAGAATGGCTTCGTCGGCCAGTCGGCACTGAAGGAGTCCACGAGGATTGGATGTCTTGCCTTAACAAGGGGGGTCTTGTTCTCCGTTCTGAACCACGTCACGCGTGAAACGCCACGCGTGAAACGCCCTGCGGCTGTTCGCCACGCGGTGTTTCGCCACGCGGATGGAACGTGTATACCGACCCCAAGGCGTTCCGACCGGGTTCGGTTCAGGAAATAGAGTCTACCCCAGCCAGGGGCGAGAGGACTCGGGGGTCTCCCTATTCAAACACACCCATTTTTCGGTGATTTTGTTGGGGTGAATTTGGCTGTCAAGTGGAGTCTGAGGCACTTGGTTCAGGGATCATCACGGGCTTGGCCATCTTCCTGATTTGCGACTTTGTGGAGGCCGTGTATGATGGCAATAGGATGATTAGTGCAGAAAACCGGGTCTAGTCGGCGCAGGATTTCTTCCATCAATACCTGAGATGGCTTTTGTAGTATCCCACCATAGAGACACAGGGTGAAGTGTATGTGCATTCCGTGTCAATCGAAGTGTTCATCCATTTTGGTGGGTTTATTATACATTATCGTTCGTTTCGGAGTTTATATACCAAGGAGATCGGTTTTCGCATCGTGGACAGTCTCTGGTCAATTCCATCAAAGCCAGGTCAAGCGGTACCAGGTGGTAAGTAACCGCAGATACTGCATCCACCTGGTTCAAGGTCTCAGAACATCGCAAATCCAAGAGTACGCAAATTTGATGTTCCGTGTCCGAGAACTGTACTTCTCTCAATATTTGACCAAGAAGTACTTTCCAGTTCCAGCTGTGGTCGAAAGACGCCATCCTTCACCGACATTCCTCCGTTTGGAACTGGCACACCGACATGGAACTCCTGCTTCGTTGTTCCTCCGACCCCGGGCGCTGTGTGCTCGTTCCTTCAAGATCCTTCACAGGGTGTTAAGCAAAAGACTCCCCAAAGAGATCGAGCACACGTAGACTGTTTTACTTAGGTGGTCTCACTATTTAGACCACACACACAAATCTTGAAGAAGGTGACCACAAGCTGCGATCCTCTTCTCAGTGAAGCATCGCTTGAACGTTTGAGTTCGAAACCGCGCAGGTAGGCTTCGTTGCTGTGGCTGGCTACGTGATGTCGCCCCAAACCTTTGCGGGTTACCAGGCGGGAATGGGGCTTCAGCTTGCGTGAAGGACTGGCACCTTTCTTAACCCCAAGGTGTTTACAGACATTCAACTTCCACTGGACAAAGCGAGTGCAACAGTGGGTTACAACTTACCTGCCCAAAGCATCCCAGAGCCATCCTCAAACAGGGACCCCAAACGCATGATCCATATGAGCCGCCATAGCCAGAGAAGTCAATCATAGACTTCGTCTATATAGGTTGACCCATCAAAATCAAGCACCCCAATATATTAGCTCAATCTTGAAGTGAACAAGACCCAACCTCAATCACTTAAGTCCGGAGTATTTGGCAAAACAAGATGAGAATCAATGGCAATACCCACCTGCACGCCAATCCTGCTTTGACCGCTGCACCGATCCACACTCCAGGTGGGGGATTCGAGCGCTTTCACGCCACTCGCATCGCTTCGGGTGGGACGGTGCAAGTTGGACTGGTGTATTCATTATTTATTATCCATACATGGCATACATGGTTTGCATATATAGCCAATTTTAGGCCAGCGGGTCAAATCCTGCACCCGTGGAAGAAGAACTCAACACAATTCCCTCGTGCTCTCTCGTGCTCCGCATGCTTCTGCCGTTCGTCGAATTGCTTTTCCAAGTCGAAGAAGTTGAATGGGGGACCCAATTCTCTTGGGCCACCCCATATATCCATACGTTGATGCAGTGAGTCGTTGCAGGAGGTCGTCCGTCAACAGTAGTCCAGGGTGGGGTGTCGCTGGATGTTTCTCGGAACCATTGAATTCATTGGTTGGCTTGGTTCCATGAGAGTTCCATTATAATCTATGATATAGTTGTTTGGGAGCACGGAAGGCCCAGGTAGAATGACATGTCCACCTCATCTCGGATAAGGCGTTCTGATAGTTGGGGTGAAGCTGAAACGATCATCAGAATGAAACTACGTGATTCTATATGTATCTATATGTTGTTTCTTGTTCTGAATGAGCGGGCCGTGCTGAAACTGGTAGACTGCGGACTGGCAACTCGTCATGATAAACACATTCTTAGGGTCAATCAAATCCAAACACTCTGAGATGCTGCAGAAGATGAAACATAGCATTCTTGAAGCCATTCCTTTGCCACGACTTGCTGCAGACGATCGCCTGCCTGAGGAAGCTCGCCTTTTTGCTGATCGTGGTGATTGCACCAATCGGGCAGGTGCTACTTGAAAGTATTCAATCATTCAAATCCGGAGGATGTTGTAATTTGCATCACGCTCCTCCAACGCCGCTGTTGATAAGAACAACATGGGAGAGGTATGGTTTGTTACTTCTTAGACTTGGTTAGGGTTGCCTTCTTTCGGGCACCAAGTCCAGAATTTGCCTGGCCCGCCTCTATCTTCAGACATCTTCAGACATGGAGCAGTTCTCGAAGCTTGCACAAATTGCATTCCATGCACTTGTTTCAGTTTACTTCCCCTTACCAATTCTTTGGTGTCCATTCCAACCTGCTTTGCAGAAACGGAGAGGTGCTGATGGTCTCCTTCCGTTGCTTCGGATTAAAGATGCCGTATCAGAGGCTCTTGGAGGAGATTTGCATGGGCGACTTGGCCCCCTAAAGGACGGAAGGTGACGTTGACGTGGTGCGTTTGACAAACAGGATGTTTGTTATTTGGGGGTAGGGTGTTTTCTCTTTTCTGTTTGGTGTATTGCCTTCCCTTGTTTGGGATTTCAGATATTGCATCAGGTCGGTCAGTAGGTACCTATTTGTTCAACACATTTCAACATGATGTTTGCTATGGTTTGTTACATTGTTTTTGCCTATAGAGCAAAGCCCACAATCAGTTGGATCAAACCTGATCAACGCTGATCAAATGTAATTAAATCTGATGAAAACCAGTGCTTCAAACATATTTGAGCAACTTGTTCTTTCAAACATGTCATGTGCACAATGGTTTCCCACATTGATTTGATGTTTTTGCCCTAGCTGTTTCCTCTGATTTGCTATTGACGTGTGGCCGGTCCCAATCCACCATCTATGTAAGCCCTCATATGATAGAAAAGCTCAAAATCAATGGAAATCCTGCTCTATCGATTAAAACCGACATCGAATGCTCAGGCATTACTTTTGACGCATCCACAGATTGATGGGTGATTAGTCCAATTGTTTTGGGCATGTCGGTGGTAAAACTTCCCACTCCTATCGTCTCCTAGCGGATCACATTGTTTTGATCATGTTTGTCCTATGCGAAGAGTGGAGAACATGTTTTATCAGTTTCCTCGTATTCCAACAGCAGTCCCAATTCTTCAGATTTTACTTTTGTACTGTTTCCTTTCGTCCCTAGCCCCCCGTTTCACTTTGCAGTCCGAAGTGCTTGCGTGCCTTGTGCTTACCACCTGCTTACAGCTCTTACACTGCTGCCATGTTACCTTGCCACTTTCACAAACAAACCGAAAACAACAAAGGACATGAGAAAAGCAGCGTACCAAAGGTGGAAGCCAAAAAAAATTACCAAAACCTCAATCTATGGTTCTTTTTCCACACCTGCCAGGTGAGGGTTGTTAGATTTTATCAGAGCTCTTCTCCTCCTTCTCCTCTTCCTCCTCCTCCTCCTTCTCCTCGCCAGCAAGTGCCAGATCGCAGTGGGCACTAGCGGACCTCAACTGCAAGGGCCCGATCGCAGTGGGCACGACCGGACTTCAACTGCTAGCGCCCGATCGGAGTCACTGATTCAGTTGCTGACTGAAGTGATCTATCAGTGTGGCAAGCCGGGGGCTCCGCTTGCGTGTGCTACCGAGCAGAAGAGATGACGCACAGTGTGCTACATGCTGTTGGAATCGAAGTTGAAGAGACTCACTGTGGCAAAATCTCAGTACGGGAGCTTGAAGAGAAGCGTGTGCTGAACACCATCAAGCTACCCAACGTCGGAAACGGCTTTGGAGAGAGGGAACACTTTCTGTGATGATAGAATTGTGTCCACATCCCTCATGAAACATGCTTGCGTTTGGGCAAGCAACAGAGGAGCTTTGCTTTTCAGTACGCAGCAGAGACCTTCTCATGCTGATCTGAGCACAATGGTTTTCTTGGGGTGCGGTGTTCAATCTCTCACAGAGTTCTTCAAAGACATCATGTGATGCCTTGAGTGCTGAACATGTTGATGATGCACGGAGGGATTATCGGATTTTCCGCCGTACGTTTTTGTGCTCAAATACGACGATAAATCCTTGAAGGCCGGTGCGTTCAGACGAAAGCAAGACAAAAAAACCAAGTGTCTTTGAGCGTGCTTCGGATTGGACAACCAAGAGGCGTTCATTGGAGGTGACAAGAGCTTTGTCACAAGCTGCTTTGCGCGGTGCCTGGATGTCGTCTCTCCAAAACACCAATTTAACAGGCACAGATTTTGAATCACGCAAACCTGTTTGGTGATCTTGGTGGTTTGAACTTCAAACTGAAGGAGGCTTGCGGACCAGCTTGAACACCTTCGAGAACGATGTGCGCTACTTGGAACAAGTGTTCTTGACGCAGAAGATCGATGCGAGTTCTGTAGGAACCTTTGTGGAGATCAGTTGTCTGCCGCTTGAGTTCAAACATGAGCTTCCAAGATTGACCTACAGATTCGTTTCAAACAACTTCAAACGTCACAAAGTTCCCTGGAGGTGTACCAAGAGAAACTGAATCAAAAAACTTCATGTTTGATGGGTTGAAGTCGCTTTGTTCCTCCAACACTGTCTTTCCAACAACGTCGAATTCCCTGTTGTTGAGTAGATGCCCTACCTGGAAGGTGGTGAGCTAGAACTAAACACAGATTCAGTGAAGCTCCTCAACTACCATTTTTCAGCGTTTGTAGCTGAACCAAGTCACTACAGGGATGTTGTGATTGAACGTGTTGTTGTTGACGTATCTACGGTTGAAGAGACATCAGCCGAAACGTTGAAGAGGAAGGCTGAAGATGTCGCAGAGCCTGCCAACAAACTTGATGACGAGTCCTTTGCAGATGTAGTTGCAACAGCATCAATGTCAATTCTTGCAGCAACAGCTGAGCTGCGGAGCGATGAAGAGGTTGACGGAAGTGTCTGAGGAAACGATGATTGATGTGACCGCAAAGGCTCTTGCCCCCATTGACCCAAGGGCCTATCTCAGCGCGAAGATGCGAGAACTGAGATAAAAAAAAAAGAAAGAAACTCGGATGAAGGCAGGCCTGGAGGAGGCAATCAGTCAATCCCAAGTCGTGAACACAAGTAGGGCATGTAAGTTTCCTGGGCTTCAAAAGTCTGGGAGAAAGCCAAGAAAGACTCCTCGGGAACGCGGCCGGACCCAACCTGCTGATATGTAACGAACAAACCCAACGACCCACATGGAAGCTGCTGGATTTGATCCCCTTTCTTTGGAAAAGGCACATGGTGTTTCCAGGAACCATGCCATTCTGTTCCATGTTTCCTGAGAGTGTTTCTTCTGTTGAAACACTGTTTATCAGATATCAAGTCTAATTGTTATGCACTTGTTAGGTTTAGTTCATGATTTGGCTCTCACCAGAAAAACAAACAACAAAAAGAACGGACTGGAGCTGCTTGTTTGGTGAGTATTTGAATGATCTCTGGATTCCACCCTGTTCTGGTCAGTGGTCAACATGGCAGTCCAGAGTCTGTCCGACGAGTCTTGTAGGCAAAGTAAGTCCACGAGTCATTTGCACTGAGTAAGTTGTACTCACTTAAGTAGTGAATTTGAGGAGAATGACTCCTCTCAACAGCTGGGAGCTTGACTGACTTGTCAGAACGCCGCTTTTTTTGTTGTTTCCAGGTTTCAATTGCATAGACATCTTTGCGATTGCTGCTGGGCAAAGTTTGCCGGGTTCGCTGGGGTTCAACTTCCCGGTGGTGCGAGTCTACGAAAGAGTGGTTTTGGTTTGCCAGTCCAGGCACACTCACCAGGCTTATACTCTGCACTAGTGAGTTGGGACTTGTGAAATGACTGTGCAAATGTCGAAGTTCCATCTCATGTGTTTCCAAGTGTGTCCACAACTCCCATCTCATCATGCATCTACCATCAAAATCAAGATCAGCCGAGAGGAGCTTTGCTTATCTCTTTGAATTGGTGTATTCCAAAGGGGGGACACTCAAACATAACAAATAAATGAAACTCGTTGCTTTACAAATGATGAAACACTATCTAAGTTAAATGGGGCATTATAAAAAGAGAAACGCTATTACACGATTTGTTTTAACGGTTTAACCTGCATAACTCCTATCTCATGTGCCTCCTGAATGTTTTCAGTCAACTTCTCTCAGACACATGTGTCAGGACTTATGCAACAAACAACCCATCTCATAATTGGCGCAACTCCTAACTCATCTTGGGGTAGTGTACAGGAGATTTCTCAATATTGAAGGCCGGAGCGGAGTCCTTTGCTGTTTGTGAGAATCACTTAATTTGAAATCACGGACTCGGTGCTAAACGTGGTTGCAAAAGGTGGTAGTCCCAAAATCGACATTTGTACAGCTCAGAACACAGCAGCCACCTGGCAGAGGAATCTCCAGAAAGATGTGTTGAAACTATTTGTGGGTACCATGTGTTTTTTTTGGGCGGGGCACAGAACACCCCCCGTTGGTTGGTTTTTTTCTGCCCGGGCCAATATCTGAACGCGGTCAAACATCTCCATGTTCACCATCCAAATCAGTTGACCAGGCACTCCATGGGACTGCCATATATGCCGATCAGTTGGGATGGTGCCAGGGGGGGTGAATGGGGCGGCAGTCCTATGGCAGTCCCACGGAGCGTATTGGGGTTGACCAGATCTTCGAGGTATAGAACGAACATCAGTTGACTGGTTAGGTTCATAGCCGATCCACGACTTGGTGAACATCCGGCATGTCAAATGCCCACTTCATGTTTAGCTTCCAAGTCCGAACCACTTTTCCAGGCCCAAAACCAGGCGGCGTGGCAGAAACCGGCCGACTACTGAACCGAAGAACTCTTCAGAGATTCGTCGGTGAACCGCCGATGACGGTCTTCATCGACGCCAGATCTACTTCATGGGCTTCTTGCCCATCGTTGACGGCTTTACCGTCTCCCTGGTGGAAGGGAAGTTTGCCACTGGACCGATGTCACCACCCGATCGGGGAACGGAGACAAGTGACGGACTGCCACCAACGAGTCGTAGGCTTCTGGTTGCAAAGAGAGATCAAAGAGCTATGCCAAATAAGGACTTTGTCCTGAACCCCCCAAACTGTGCCAATCAGAAGAATCAGAACAATCTGGTTGGAAATCCAAGGGAAACTAACCCAGACTACCTTGGCTATGTCACGGTTTGTACCCACCCTGGTATTCCATCAGCGGATCAGCAAGATGTCATTTCCCAAGTGGAGCCTTTATCTGTTTGGTATGCATCTTCCGTCCTCAACAGGATATCAAGACTGCAGACGAGTCGGTCGTCGAGCAATGTTATAGGCGACCAAAACTATGAGGTAATCGTATCGGCGACTAATTTCAATCAGGATCTATGAGGCTTGTCTTTTGGCAACATGAGGTCAACATTGAGGGACAATGGTAGGTATCAACATGAGGTCTTGTGAGGCAGCATGGCTCAGCATGGTAGGTATCGCTTGTGTTTTCACCTGGTGTGGTATCACTTGTCCTGTTATTTTCTACCAAACAAGTGCTCTTGCTCTATCTTGCTCTTGCTCTATTGTAGCTCCCTCCAACGAGATGAAACCGAGCTGAAACGTCCAAGATGCAGCAGTGCGAAGTGCTTGCAACGCTGACGGGGGAGAAGTGCATCGGCGTGGACGCCAAAGCTGTGACCTTCGGGAGCGCGGATCCGGGGCGTTCCGCGTGTGTTCACTGCCGGTCGGTGGGATGGGGGGGGAGTCGGATGGGAAGGCGGCATGTCACGGCCATCGTTGTTCGTTTGCATGAAAAGGAATGAATGGATAGATGGATAGATAGATGGATAGATAGATGGATAGATGATAGATAGATATATATATATATATATATATATGTTGCAATCTATGATGTTTCTGTTCAAGGGACGTACCAAATAGCGAAAGATCAGTGTTTTTGGAAGAGCCTTCTACAGATCCTCGAGAGTGTTTGATATGTTTGGTGTTCCCTTTCTTTGTTGGTAATTCCTTTGCTTCATGTTGGATTGCTTTCTTGATGTTATCAAAGGACCCCTTGTAGTGTCCGATCATTCTACTCTTTAAAGGCTGTTATTGGATCTCATGTTGATTCTTTCTAATCTTGTTTTGCCTTGTTGATATCTTGGTGATCTCCCTTCGATTTTAGACTCACTCAGGTCCAGCAGGAATCGATGACTGGTGAGCCATAAACTAGCGATATACGGTAGGTAGACTGTGAGATGTTCATAACTTGTATATAATCCTCCTAGAAGGGACAAAAGCAGCAGCCTCAATTTACCGCCACCCACTGCCCAGTGCGCAAGTGAGTGCTTGGCCCCAGTGGGGGCCAAGCACTGGGTGGGGGAGAAGGTGAAAGGAGATTTCAATCTGATGGGTGGGGTGGGGGGAAGGATGGCAACAGGCTCTGGAGAGTAGAACATGGACCCAGTGCATAAGCGAGTATAATTTCCAGTGCACAAGCCACTGCTCGCCCGTGGCCCCCACTCCCCCACAAATCCGCCTTCGGTGGTGGGTGAAATAGGAGCCAGAGTGGGGCAGCTCCAGTAGCTAAGTGCATTGGTAGGCAGACCTTGCGGCCCGTTTCAACCAGGACCTTGGGTTTGGTCCTTGCCGCCGTTTGCACTCTCGCCCTCTATATACGTGCCTCGGAAGCGAGTCGCCGAGGGTGTCGGGGTGCTCTCTTCGATGCAGCGAGCGTGTTCGCTTTCGGTATCCCGAAGGGGAGGTGTTCACAAGCGGGTTTGCAGTGGTGGTTTGATAGACAAGGCCGTTTGCTACCCCGATTTTACCTCCAAACCAGGACCCTTCAGCTCTCTCATGTGGACTCAGCTCTCATGTGGACTCTGAATAATTAACATCCCCCATATGAAGAGCTTTACAAGCCAAATGGCAGATTTTGTTGAATCAAGAGCTCTACAAGCCAAATGGTTCGTGAATGACCGACACCAGGTAGTACAATAATCAATAGGTCCGGGATGGCCGGGATACCTGTTGCATCGATCAGAGCCTTAAACGGGAGTCCCATCAACGGAGCCTTTCCGGGAGTCCGGAGAGCTGTGGGACTTCACGCGCCAGCGAAGACCACGCGTGAATTCTCACAGCCACCGGTTTCTGTATCGGAGCACGATGACCACCTGCGGTTTGGAAGGGGAACCGGGAAGGTTTGGAAGCGATAGCTGGATGGCACAAAGGGTCTGGACCGGTCACCTGGTCCCCAGTCCCACCAAACCCACCGGGCTGCTGGACCCTCCACGGCCGGTCGCCACGGGTTGGGTCCGGTCGGACAGGAAGGAGTTTGTGGCACTCGTGGTGGGTAGACGTCCGTGCGGAGAAAGGAGTTGCACTCGTTAGGGGGGGGGCCATATTGGTTTACACTCCCTGAAAGAGTCATGGAAGTGCACCATGAATGAAATGTAGGCAAGCTGAGAAAGGCTGTCAGGAGGGTGAGAATGAAAGTGTACACGCGTCTCAAGCCGAAACATCACGTGAACTGCAAACTCCATCGCCTCACCGAGATCAGACTCCATCACTCCAGATGCACGCCAGAAGAGCAAATACCAAGTACCAAAACAGGTACCAAACAAGCAGATTCCTACCAGGAACCAAAGGCCCCTCGACCTGTACTGTGCAGGTCAACCTGGATGCAGGTGTCATAGGGGAGTTCAGCACCTTACGGTGACCCAGCCAGCAACACTGCACTGGATCGTCCCCACGTCGCACCACTGTTCAGGGTCTCCCTGGGCGCCACAATGCTGGGGTGTTGGTGGTGTTGCCAAGGCTCCTCCTACGAGCTGCACCAGCTGGTCTCCAACCCCACCACCAGGAGCCATCCGTTGGTTCGTGATCGACATGAACCACATCAGACCGGGATGGGTCGCACCAGGAACCCGACCCGTCCACCTGGTCAACTGTGTCGCATGACAAGTAGCCGGAGCGGTGGTCTGAGCGCTTCGACGGGGATGGATGGGTCAAACACCGACCGAGCCCCACCCATCCGCCGCGAACGACCGACTCGGTAGGTCGTGCCCGGTCGGTCTCTACCCAGCTGCCATATCTTCCGGCACCATCCGGATCCAGGGAACGTGCTTGTGTGTTTGTGTGCAACACTCTTCGTCTTTTGGTGGATAGGACCGTGGTAGTCTCAGAGATTCTCAGAGTATGCCATGGCTGCCATATTTATGGATCGATCGCGGAGATGAATCTCTTGGAACCCACGGGCATGATGCTTATCATCACATAAACTATCTGCGTGTGGTTTCAGATAGGTTTCAAGAAAATCGAAAATCAACGTTTTCGGATGATTGAATCCACTGACTAATATCTTTCTGAGTTGAACCACCTAGCCAGATTGTCATCTAGCCATGAGTTTCGCGTCGGACCCGGGTCAAATGTCGCGAAGAGTCGAGAGCGAACTGGGTGCAGCTGGGTGCTGTGGAGGTCGGCGGTTCGATTGGGGCAGAATTTGGGAGACTGAGCCAGTTTTTGTGGGACTGAATGACTGAATGAGGCCAAACAGGGGATCACCAGGTGGCAAAATGGGCTCAGAGTGGATCCGCCTATATGCGTTTTTGCCCCACCAGTAGATGCTTCAGGAACAACTCTCTCTATATATACTGTATATATATATATAACTCAATGGATGAAACAAAGAGAAAACACATTGGGCTGGAAGTCCCATTCATGAGAATTTACCAAAGGGGTCACAGACTCATGGGTTGCCGCGTGGTTCCTCTACGGTTCGTGACATGGTTCGTGACCCCATTCGGTGCCTCAGACTGATCAGGAGAGATGAGGAAACCCGAGCGGTGGAACTGCCGGGGGTTTAAGGTGTGGAGAACTGACCGTCTGCCGCAGACGCGGGAATGGTTCTTTGCTTTCATGCCACAATCGACCGGTCAGCCCGTTTGCGGTTTTTTTTGGGGGGTTTTCATGGACACCCCCATTTTCTCCCCATCACCTCCAAGGGGCTATTTTTAGACCCCCCCAAACCGGACCGGGGTGCCCTATCAAGTACTGTACATGCTGAAAGAATCCAATCGAACAGAGGCGTGGGAACGTGAGAACAGTGCTTGGAGCATCGAGGAGCGAACCAACATGCATCGGTGACCTCGGAGGGTCCTGTAGATATGTGGGGTGTGCCTAGTATTCGTATATATATATAATGGTACCTGGAGCCTCCAAGAAGATACGTGTTGGAGAAAGCATCCATCATTCATGGATTCAACAAACACACGTACAGAGTTGCTTTAAGCCAAGCAGCTTCTATTGATCATCTCTGCTGTCTCTTCTCTAAATTACACGCTAGTGAGGATACATATATATATATATAATATAATATAAGATAAGATAAGATAATATAATATAACATAATATAGATATAGAACTAGATATAGATATAGATAGATAGATAGATCATTTTGGCTTTCTGGTCCCTGGTGATTCTTGAAGAATGAATAAAGGATTTACTTGTTCCCTCGGCCTCTCTCCACTCCACCCCGGTTTGTTCACCCATATGAACATGTTTATTTCTGGCTTGGGGTGGTCACAGCCACCACCATGCGATATCACGCACTTCCGATCTTCGGTGGATCTCATGATGCGACGAATGGTCTCCAGCGAAAGCGCACGGAGTTTGAACCTTACTACCATGCCCTTCAACAGACATAGATGGCTGGAGCAGAATGGAGATTGCCATAGATTGGGCCCATTTGTTCGCATTTGTTGTTCTGTGGGAGACGATCTGGGCTGCTTTACCTTGTGTTAGATGACACCGCCGTCCAGTGGTTGGTTGAGTTATTTGGCCTTGGCCTGGACACCCTGAAGACAATCACTGGAGAGACCTGGAAAGTCTCAGGCTCCAAGTCGCGGATTTTGTGGGGGCATCACGCTCCAAGGAGATGGATTTCTGATTTTTGTCAGTCAGTCAGTCCTACCAAAATCGTTCAGTAGGGGTAGAACTGAGAATATTGTTTTTGTTCGCAAGCGGGTGGACGTTGCTGTTGGTCGCACTTTTCTACCCGTGGTTTGACTTGCCCGAAATGGCCATCCCCAAAACCATCAGTTGATTCTCATATATTCTTTTATGTCTTGTTCAACAGAGTGCGCTTTCCAATCTTCAAGTCTGGCGTCAATTTGTATCGTTCCATGCAGTTGCAGTTGCACTTCCAGCATCATCAACTTTTACGCAGCTCAAGCATTCACAAGCAGAGTAGTCTGGATGTCTGGAATGTTTGATCTATATAGCCATCTTATCTCTAGCCTCTGGAATGCATGCTCTAAAGCAAGCTTCATCAAGCTTCTATATAGAGAAAAGCAACGCTTGGACCAACCAATCCAACATGGACCGCGCACCGCTTGGACCGCGCCGACGAGTCAGATCCGCGATGATCCGTTAATGGTCGCTCCGTCTGGCGAAGCAGTGTTTGCTTGAAAAAGAAGCTGGTGGTGACACCTGCCGAGCAAGATCAACCAAGTGATCTGTCAGATGTAGCCTTTCAAGTGACATAGTTTAACATACTTATGGTAATTCAACGATGGATTCAACTCAGTGTGGTTCATGATCAGTCTATGAAGACATGAAGGATTCTGAAGGAATGGTCTCCACAAGAGACCCGTACAGAATGAAGGAAGAAGCATGCACTCAAGACCCAGTCGCAACATGAACTCATTGAAAAAGCTCTTTTTGTAGCCTGGCACCCCAGAAGTCCTTCGAAAAGCTCCTTCTCACGGGAATGCGAATCTCAAATTACTTGGACATCGCCAGGTCTTTCCCAGTGTTCCTTCCAGCAGACACTGCCGCAGTCCGACTCGATGATCGAAGAAGATGGTCACCCACAGCGACCGGTGAGAGGATTTCGGACGCCAAACCCTGCTTCTCAAGGGCGGGCATTCTTGGGTGCCCCCTCAGTGTCCCCTCAAAAACCCTCTTCCTGGAATGTGAGTGGAAAGATCCGGACGCATGTCCGGGTTGACCACCCCCAAAAAGAATCATATGAGGGTTTTTTGTCCATCACTTTGTGTAGGGACACCCCGAATCATCCATATTTAGTAGTGGGTTGTGAGAAATCAACCCTCCGTTTTGTCCCCGTTTATGGCAACCTCCATATAAATCATCCATGGACGTTGATTCAACAATCATGGACGTCCATGGATGGGGCGAGCCGCCGGGATCCTGATTTTCGGTTCATCTTCGTTTTCGGGCAATGGGGACCTGTAAGTAGGGTAGGGTAGTCTATTGGACACCCATTGGATGACCCTGGTATATATATATATATACTTGGCTGAGGAGCCCTCCCTTCAAAAATTAGGCTGCCAAGCAGTTGTGTAGATGGGCGCGGTTGCGAAGCACTGGGAGATTGCCGAGATTGCTTTGAGAAAAGAACTGAACTGAATAATCATCAACGTCAGCTGCTGAGTGAATTAATGTGTAAAAGACCCTTGTGGATCCAACTGTCGCCGCATGTTGTTTCCAACAAAAGTCACCACTTCCATCAAATTCCAGTGCATGCTCATTGGCTTGCGTCCCTAATCAAGCCACCAAGGTTTGCTTAAACCAACGTGGCGCCAGCGTTGAAGCAGGGTTCCAGCGTCTGACCCTATCACCTCCACTGTGCTCTCTGTTGGGATTGGGGCCTGGCCACCATGCGGAGCAAATGGTTTGCGTTCATCCTTGAGGGATGAGAAATCGTTTGAACCACAGCCATGTGGGGTTGAGAGATGGCCGTTTGAGACATGACAGGGTCCGGCGGATGTTCAACAATTGTTGACATGCATCAATTCGATTTCCTTTTAGGCCCAAAGCAAAATTTTGGATAACTTTTGGATAGAACATTAGGCATGAAGAGTTTGGACTTTGAAATCACTGGCCCAGTTGGCATGTGTACTCGCCATGTCTTTTCTGCCCCAGGTGTCTTTTGTATACATGCTGTTATTTAGAGGGAGACGCCTGCACAATGCTTCGGCAGTTGGAACAAAAGCAGGTACACATCCTTCCAACGAGTCGGACTGCTAATGACACTAGAACATGGGGGATCCACTAGAACATTGACGTAGAGGTACCCCCCACACCAACGTTGATCCCACAGCATCGTGCAGTTTGGACTCCCAAGACCATTGGTAGTACCATTGGTTCTTCTCATGCCTGCTTGATGCCCCCTGGCTGCGACTTCGTTTCGCGAGAGACGCCCCAAAAGAGCGCCACCGGGGCAGGCGGGTGGGTTTGGACTTCGAGCGATCTGAAGTGCCCCGGTGCAATTGGCCAATTCCATGGATGAACTGGTGGCAATGGCCAGTTCATGCCAGTTAATTATGTAATATGTAATTCGATCCTTTATTGAGTAATGATTTTTTCTCACGTGAGAACAATTCATTACTCAATTAGTAATTCGATCCTTTTTCTTGCCCAAAGACACCAAGAGCTCCCAAACCGACGCTGCATGGCATGCCGGAACAGCAGACCGGGCACTGGAAAGGTTTGGAACACCCCGGAGTCATACAAGTAGGTCGGTCCCAAAACACTCCACATATGCCATATTTGCCTACATACCGATGAAGCTTGCCCTAGAGAGGTCAAAAGACATAGCAGATGGAGAGGCTGGGCACTAGAAGATGGGTTGTGCCCCATCCATCTACCTTTACCTTCATCCACTGGGAGGAGGCATAATCTGTAATATAGACTCCCAAATAGATAGAAACGTAGATCCCTACGTAGAAAATGTATTGGAAACCGTGCCAGTATCTATTTGGGGATCACTCTAAGCAGGCACAAGCACGATGGCGCCAGGCGGTGGCCGGTGGGGCCGGTCCCTTGCGCGGCTAGCGCAGCTTGGACCGAACGAAGGTTGAATGACTGTAACGTTGTTTTTCACAAGATGGAATACTTGTGTTGCGGTATATATAATCGGCATATGTATATGTTTACATGCTTGTGCACTTGGTGTTAGTGACTAGTGTAGCACATCAAAGACCAATAACGTTTCGCGGCAAAGTCGAAGCCGCTCGGCCCAGATCGACCACGTCAAAGGGCTCAGTGAGTTGAAAAAGTTCCAGGGTCCGCACGTAGAGCTCCCGGAGCTTGCTAGTGGGATTCTGGACGGCACAGAAGTCCTGTTGTCTCTTCAAAACGGATCGTTAGGGATGCATCGGGATGCATGTAGCTGTCAGAGGACCAAACTTCTGTGAAACAAGTCATCTGCCAAAGACAGATGCTTGTTGATGGACAAGTCCCCTGGAGCACCGAAGATACTACCTGGTGTGTTTCACCACTGCCTGCCTGAGATGCACAGGGTCAGGGCTCACCTTTCATCACTGGGAACACTATCGTTTACTCAAGATGGAGGCACATATAGATGGCAGGCAGGCAGGTTGAGCACATGCATGTATCATGTGAAGAAAATACTACATGTTCTTCCTTTTGCAATTCATGAGATCCCTTGAAACTCCCGACCGAGGCTGTGCTTTCTGGTGGCCGTGGGGGTTGTGCGCGAGGTGCGGCACGGTGGCGACGATGGCTTCGGAGTTTCCAGCGATGGCAGCAGGGAGACGATGGCTTAACGAATCGAACAGAGACGAATCGGGGTGAGAAGGCATGCTGCAGTCAGCCCCCAGACACTGCTTGGTGGAATAAATCCCCTAAACCACCCTTTCATGAGACAAATATGGCAGCCCTGTGGAGTGTTTGGGACATAAGTCTGATAAGTCATCCATATTTTGCGGTGGAAGACGAGAGAGAGAGAGAGAGAGAAGATGCAACACCACTGCAAATTAATATGTTTCGGCATGTTTTTGTTGTTTTGTTGTGCTGTGCTGTTTTTGGTCAACTTTATCAAATGTGCATATTGATTTGTTTGGTCATGTATAGCTGGCTCTGGAGAACACAATGTTATTGTGCCAAGAG